CAGTAGTAACAGTATTAACTTCATAGATACTTCTACGTAATAAGCCAGTCCTGGTCATCAGTTTAAATCTCTTAAAGGTAGTCTGCACAGATGAGCTTACAAAACAGGCAGAAAGGAGGCAGGACACTGTGAATTACTTCTCTAGAAGTCATTTATATAAGTAAGTTCATGAACGTACTTCTGAACCCACTACTGTAACTTAGTCAGACTTTTTAGTTGTGATACAAAGAAGACCTACTGGCAACTTAAAATAAATATTTAAAAAATAATATTACAATGGAGCTCTTCTCTACAAAAACAGGTCAGGTGGTATCTCATCAATCTTGGTCATTTCTCTGGAGGCACTAAAAGTGAAAAGTGACATGGCTGTCAGTCTAAAAGTGCAACCTATTTAAAAGTACACTATTTAACTAAATTTGAGTTCAAGCAAGAAGCGACTTAGCTTTTTGAAGAATCACAGAAAGGTGGCTCTCATGCCAGATCCATCACCAGTTCAGAAAGGAATCTGTCCTTTCTTTAAAACTAAACTAAAAACTTTAACTCTTCTAACTAATAAATAAATAAATAAATAAAACTAAGACTAACTAAAAATTACTTCTATGCCTGTCAGTAGCTATTCTCTGTAAGCAATTTTCCTACTCTGATTTTTCCATCCCACTTTCTTTATTTGCACTTTGTGACTTGGCAGGAGAGAAAGACATTTTAGTAGCAGTCCCCTCTGACTTCCCACTTTCATAGCATTATCTGTCTTCTGGATTTAAAAGGACTAATGAGAACTTCAAAAGAAAGAAGGCAGCATGTGCCACAGCTCTTTGTAGAAAATCAAGTTAGCTTTGCAACACAGGAGAGGTGTATACTGAGGTAGTCTTTATCTAGTGACTGTTAACTTCTTATCATCAGTGATCCTTGTGAAATGATTCTCTGGCATTACTTATTTATTAAATTAATTCAGTTATTTCAATTTCTCTGAAAGTCTGAAATCTGTGAGAAGGATGTGACATCAGTCGTTCCTCTTCTTAGGACACTCACAGAATCTTTTAGAACAGAAGCCAAATTTCTTTCAGCAACAATAGTAATTAAGTTCAGAATTTTCCCCACAGTTCAGTGTGTCACAAATTTGTATGCTGGTAGTTAATTTCTTTCTCCCTCACTGCCATCTCTGCTATCAATTTTTGTTACTTAGCAAGGTGCTCCATTTTTTACTTAGGGCCAGCCCTATTAAGGTGACAGCTTGTGCAAGATGCAGTTTTCATGCTGCTCAAAGACAGATTTTACTACAGCTATAGCTTTAAAGGTGAGAATTCTCAAAAGAAATTTCAACTTCATTCTCATACAGAGTTGCTATGCTTTTTCACAAAGAATATACACCGTATGCCCTCATTCTCTTTCTGGATAAACATGAATCAGCAAAGCCACATATTCTTCCAATGCAATGGAAAGTTGTTGACAATATTTTTCTTTTTTATCAAAAAAAGGCCCAAACCCAAGTTTTGGCAGGCACAGTGAGAGAGTTTTTTCAATTACTGTTTTGGGGCATCCTGCCATCTTTCTCAGCATACGCTGCCTTCCTGTTTATAACCTTTAGTTCTCCAGAGTCCCCTCCAGAGGAAAACAAGGCTATAACTAATTTCAAGCCAGCTGATGGAGAAAGGTGGGAGATGAAAAGTAGTTTCATGGTAAATGCACACGTCCTGTTTAAAAAATAAAGAAATAATGCCCCTCAGCAGTGCCTTTTCAGCTTGTTGAGCTTCCAGAAAGTGTTGGGGACTATTGCAAGTTGGCATTGCTACTGAGGTATCATAGCAACTCCAGCAAATCACAGCGGCGCCCTCCAACAATGAATCATTCATTTAGAAACCATATCTCCTCTTTCCTTTATTTGTGGAAGATTTATTCCTTTCAGGAGGAAAATTTATATCCACCAGGCAGACATCTGATACACAATACCTAACAGAGTGCGTACAATGGCTTTGCTCGAGGCATTGCTTTTTACCAAGGCAGTAGTTTTAAAGAAATCTGGAAATGACAGCAGTGGTAGCCACTTGGATGGCTGCCACTTCCCAAATCTGCATCCCTTCAACCTCTGTATTTTGCCTGTTTCACTGAAGGGAATTAATGTCAAGTAATTATATCCTTTGGTTTGTCTTCTTGTGGTAAGGTAAATCACCTAGTGAACCAGTGGCAGAAAGTAATGATATTGCCGAGTTCTTTATTAGTGAGCTGACTCTAACAAGCACCTAAGCTATAACCAGGGGAAAAAAAAAAAAAAAAAAAAAAAAAAGAAATCCCAGCTGAGCACATTGCTAAGAAGCACATCAAAAGAGTCAGCTTAAAACACACTAAGTTAGATTTCCTAAGGACTGCTAGATACCTTTGAAACCAATTAAGTGGCTGGAACCAAGATAAGAAGGCATCTGAAGCAGAAGGAAAGTGCCTTTCCAGACCTGATGTCCAGCTGATGTAACAGCACCAGAGTACCCGATTTCTTTTTCATGTGATGTGCAGATTGAAAGAGAGGTCTTGGTATGGGACAAATAAGCCAATTCACTTAAATACAGATACAGAAGTGATAAGTCTTTGCACAGTAGGGTGGTATAAAGTTATTCTAGCACTAGAGTTTAGCCTTTCAGGGAAGGAAAACAGTGAAGTAATTTGATTAAAAATACAGGGATATGTCATACATGTGCTTTGTTGGCAACAAAATCAAGAATGTAAAAATTGTTTGGGCATTCACAGAAATCAAATTTAGTTATATTTGGTAGCTCCTAAAATTCTAATTCTTGACTTTCAGATTTTACCAGCGACTCAGTTTTGCAAAGTTGACAGCACTCCAGTTTCGAAGAATGAAAAAACTCACTTAAGAGGGTTAAAAAAGCTTTAATTTTTTAAGTTAATTGACGGATATTTTTATATGAGTTGTAGATCTTTTTTCTTAGTGTTTCAGGGCTTATAGAGCATTAGGCCTGGTTTTGTTTTTTTTCTTTACCTCAGGTATGGGTTATTTTAAGATAATGCTGCTAGAAGAATGTTACTAGATTAGAAAGAGAAAATGAAAGAAAACTTGGCAAAACCATTTCCTCCATGCATGGCTGAGCTTATAAGTAAAAAAAAGAAACTCATTTCCCCTTTCTCTGTCTCCAGCTTTGGTCTTACCAGAGCTGCACAGGAAAACAATGTTGAGTGAATTATAATGGTAGTTTCATTGGCAAGTACCTTGTCTTTTTCACTGGGCACAGAATGCCCTGTATTTCAATTATGGCTCAAGTGCTCTTTGCATGGAAGGACTTCATATTTGCTTCATCACAGTGTGTTGCTCTTCAAACATAGCAACTGTTTGTGCCTTATTTTAACAGTGCAGTACTGGAGAATTAAAATGAACTCAGTTGTTCATTGCTGTCTTAAGAAACTGACAGGTTATCTGTTACAATTCACTGTAGAATAGGATAGTAGATAAGTGACAGATAAGCATTTTTGAAAAAAAACAGGTGGAATTACCTTTGAAAGCTATGGTGTCCCAGGTTTTGTTTTTATCTAGGCACTTTTCATTCCTATTTTGAGGTGAGGGAAATACTCAATGATGAAAAAGTCATGATAGGTGTTGAACCTACAAACACCTTAAATAAAGCAGTTGAAAAGGACTTATTGTGCAGGTGAAACTATTCACATACATCTCTGGTTACAGAATCATCAGCTTCACAAATCCAAATTTCAGTCAGTGCAAGTCATCCTATAGTTTACTTTCTACCCTTTCCGTCATTAAGAACAGTATATTCTGTTATCCTGATGTCTTTATTAAATACAAGTATGTGCTGTGGTGCTAAGCAGTATTTGGAACACAGTGTTAAATGTAGAGGAGGTGTTCCCTATCCTTACAGGTATCATCCTTGAGGAACAAGTAGGTTAGGAGAAAACACTGCAGTATCTAAAAATAAGGCTGTGGTCTGGCCTCCAGTTCCTTAGAGTTAAATGGTGTGTGTGCATTATTTTCTTTTTATCATCCTTAAAAGACTTACTGGCTTTCTAGAGAATTGCTCATATCCTTACCAGTCTTTGACAAATAATGGAGAGAGGATTGAGAGGTTAACCTCTAACAGAAAGGTCTGTAAAGGTATGAGTGTTTACCAGGGAGCAAGGCAAACCATTCCATTTTCAATTTCAGATCTCCTTAAAGTTCAGCAGTGGCTCAGATTGTTCAGTTGAGTTTTGGCCTTAGTTAAACAGAACTTCGGAGCAGTGGTTTAAGCCCCACTGTTTGGTTTGACTCCCAGATAAACACTTTGAAACTTTCGTTGTTCAATCCATAATATAATTATTTGTGACTTTTTACTTACATATGGATTTTTTAAAATTAATGTCGTACTTTTGTCTCTTTTACACTTGGCTATTAGTATGTTACAATGACTGAGAATAGATGAAATGTAATACTGAACTGCTCGAACTAAAGGCAGAAGCAATTTCTTTTTGTAGAACCCATGTGACTACAAAGATCTTTATATCATCTTCACTTAGAAGTGAATACTCTCTTCTCTGTGTCAGATATCTTTTAAAGCTATTTAGGCTTTACTTCTCTGGGGAATAGAAGAGTAAGTTCTCATTCATCCTTCGCCAAATTTGCTCTATCAAAGTTTCATGTCTGGCATTTGAAGTCATGCCTGTCCTCGTGCCCATGAAAAACTAAAGACACTTTCATAGGCTAAATGAAATCTTAGTCTCAATGACCTTTTCCGTGTTACAGGAGATTGTTTTTTTGGACTATGGCCTCTGGCGTTCAAGTGAAGTATCAGATTTTTCCACTCGTGTGCTGTGAAAACTTAGTCATCAGGAAGTTTGCTGCCAGACAAATCATCGTTCTGCCTTTCCTGTTGTCACTTTTTGGTACGATTCTTTGAACTATTCATGTGCCGTGGAGTTTTTCAGCAATGCATGAAGTGAAATAAAGTTCATGATTCCCCGGTGAGCTACTCACCAGTCATATTTCTTGAAAGGATTGACACCAGAAGATGACAACACTTGGTCTTTATTTACATCCAAAAGATGTCCAAGATTGCTCCTCCTTCATCCACTCATTTTCAGGATTTTTATCCTCACATTAGTGATCATTCACTCTTTCAGACACACAGAAGGATGCCACTCACTAAAGGACAAAGTGATTAAATTTAGGTTCATTGACTAATCTGTGGTAGGAAACAGTGAAACCTGTAAGAGACCTTTCCATGTAGGTCTATTTGGAAAAGAAAAAAAAAAAAAAAGAAGAGAGAAAGGAAAAAAACACAGGAGTTGCTATCTTCAGGAATTCAAGCTTTCTGCCCGGGAGTATATTAAATTTAGAAAACATATTAACGTACCGCAAAACCCACAGGACAGATTTCAATTGACTCCACCTAGATTTTGGTGGCAAAACATCCTGGCCACATAAACCAGTGGAGCATTTTGTGTGGAAAGGTTGGCTTCAGCAGTTATTACTCACAAGTCAAAACAGAGTGATTTATTTCATTTTCCATTTCAGTTCTCCTCCATCTTATAACCGCATGAGGAAACCTTCCTTCTTTGCAGTTTATCCAGATGAAAATACCTATAGAAAGTAGAAAGCAGTGAAGAATTGTCCTTGAAACTTCGTAATACTGAGTTCTTCATGCAGAACTTTGTTCAAAGGGATTTCTGGAGTCACAGAGGACACTTGGAATTCACCCCTGAAGCCTGTGCAGCTGCTCCAGAAAACAAACAGAGCCACTCTTAAAATCAGTCCTTTCGCTAAGTTTTATACATTTTCTTAAACGCATATACATTTTCTTAAAGTACTGCTTTAGAGCAGCTAGAAATACTGAGAAGGACTGTGTTTTCAGGTGGCCAGGCTCTGTAGCCCTCAAAGGATCAAAAAGTTTAATGTAAACAAAAGAAAGTCAAGCAAAACCAAATCATGAAAAAGAGAAAAAGGCGGGAAGGTTTTAGGAAAAATATTTATTTCTAGTGGACAGAGGTACCAAACTAACCAGGGCCTTTCCAGTTCCTTGCCTAGGACCATAACATGGTGCATTTCACAAGAGACCTCATCCCTGTGGTACTTGCCTGACTTCCACCTGCATGCTTTCTGATCTGACCCCAAGCCATTTCTTTGTAAGGAAAACACACTGACAAGGAAGGCTATAAATTACAATATTCTGTCTCAAGCTTTTCTCACTCACCTCTCTATACTTGTGCTCTGCTTTCTTTTAATGTCTGTCATTTGTATCTAAACCTCTTGATGACGGCCCTTCCACAATGGATGCCAGACAGCTTGCAGGCCATTATGGATGAAGAAAGGCAGGCATGCCACAAATTGGAAAAGATTGAGGCTTCCTAGTTTTATAAATTATTTCCCCTTCTGCAAATTTAGATAATAGGCACGGAGTAACAGCAGGTGTCTTCACGCCTTACCCTGTTTTGTATGCACTTAAAGTCTTTCTAAGATTTAAACAGGGGTAGGACACAGATCCTGTGACTCTTCTATGAAAATATGCTTCAGAGCCTGCACCCTTCCAAGCCTGAGCACCATATTGAACGCAGAACCCTCATATGATATTTCACTTCTAAGAAACACCACATAAACTCCTTAATCAGATTCCTCATTGTCTGGGCTTGCAGTGCACATATAGTTATCTCCATTATATCATTTAATATATATTCATCTGTTCTGTTTGTACGTGCACTCAGGTGAAAACAGCAACACTGATAAAATATTGGCTTTACTGATGCTGAAGGAGATAGCTTGGGGCAAAGCTAATAAAAACTGCAGCCAACATGATTAAAGAAAGAAAGCGATACCTGTAAGTACACAGTAGTGAATGCTGCTGGCAGGCTGGTGCAGCGTGAGTGCAGTGTGTAGAGAAAGGAGAGCCAGGCGCAGTGGTAGGTGAGGGCACAGGAAAGAGGGGCAATGTGGTTGTCACCATCCGTCTCTCACAAGCTTCTTTCAAAAGACTCAATTTGCCCTGTTGCTTGAAGAAGAGAAAAAAGAAACAGGAAAGCAACGAAAGAGGAAGCTGTAGCTGTGCTGTGGTGTGGTGGGCAGAAAAAAAGCAGGGTTTTCAAAAATACCCACAACCACGAACAACCTCCCCACGTAACATACATGACTCTCAGCAGCACCACAACATGCTGCCTGAGAGGCTGGCCTTGCTTTTTTTGTGTTAGAAAACAGCTGGAGAAAGAGGGGAAAACGTGTCTGGTATAGGAACTAGGATCATCTAAACTGGAACCTGCTGCTGAAGTTGTCCCCAATGCCATCCTCTGCAAATGGAGGAAGGTCTCCTCGGTTGAAAACTGACTTCTGTGGGTGTTTTCTGGTCCTCGTTTTATGTGTTACATGGAGATAAGTTGAGAAGGGGGTGAGAGATCCGCAGGACATTTGTACCAGTGGAAATAAGTCACAAATAAGGTGGAGGCACTCCCCTGGTCATCCAGTTCATGGTTTTTGTGTGCCTTCAGGCGCACAAATTATGTATTGCTGAGAGGGATTGTGCCAATCCTTTTGCCTTTAGTACCTGTGGAGGAAAAGCAGTTTTCTGTTTCATTGGTAAGAGAGCCTTCTTCTAAACTACAGCCAAAATGTATCCATGTCCTGTTTATACCCATTTGTTCTAATGCCAGCACCATCTTCTAAATGAAATGGCTCTTCTTCCCTGTTTTTTCCATCATGGTTATGTTGAAACAGAGCAGCCTCACAGCCTTCTCTTTGCTGTGGAAAACAAGCTCTTCTAGTTTCCTCTCACTTGATCAGGTTTCTCTGTACCCCTGGATCAGCTCAGTAACCTTCCACTGCACTTGGGATGCTCGGAAAACGTCCTTGATCTGGTGCAGTTATTCCTGCTGTGAAGCCTTGCAATGGCAACAATATTTCTCATTTTCTACCAGAAATGCCTCACCAGACCCATCCTCCAATTGCATTTGCCTTTTTCCATGGCTGCATCACATTGCCAGTCAGTCATCTGGCAACACATACACCCAGTCTGACGAGCTCCTGGCTTGTGGCAGAAATTTTTGTTATTAGTCCCCAGTATTTGGTTTGGCATTTCATACTTTGTTTTCATCCCATTTTTATTACACAAGTTTCAAAGTCATCTGTACTGGTGGTGCTTAATAGATTTGCATCCTTAACATATGTAAATGCATATTCATACTCTTTGTGATGGGGTGAATGAAAATTAATGAAAATACTAAAGCTTATCAGCCTGGTCTTAAGGAGTCCCATCACTAAATTCCTTTGAGCCCAGTACATCCCCATTTGACATTGCTGATTGCATTTCTCTTTGAGCTAGCCCCGTAAGCATTTCAGAAGTCTGCTTCTGATCCATGTAATTATTCAGTTTGTTGAATCCTCTCCTATGTGATACCAGTATCAGATGCTGTTACCTAATCAGATTGTACAAACACCAGTGTGACAAATTAATTAACCCCCCTGCAATTGCATGCACTGGTTCTTTCAAAGGTTTGAAATGTAGACTGTGTAGCTGTTGTTGTCTGGGCCCTGCATTAAGCTTACAGCGTATAGATTCTGTTCTCAGCTTTTCTTTTGTTCAACATTGCTGTATTTGACGAAAAATACAGTGGTGAAGGATTCTTTTAATTTTGGATTTATGTTTGTTACCGTTTGCAACATTTCAAGTAATAATTAAAGGGGAAGAATATTCTGCTTCGGTGGCCATCCTGAAGAGTTCATCGTGGCTTTTTCTCCCATGCAGTCACCACTTGAAGATTTTCTCCCTTTTTTTTTTTTTGTTGTTGTTGTTGTTGTTTTCACTGTTCTAATAGGCAAGCTTGGTTGTTTACTTCATGTGGGCAAAGTATGCAACATGGCTGGAGTGCAAGGGAGTAACAGTTCCAGGAACACTCCCACAGAGCCGTCCAAAGGCATCTACAGTGGACTGGGGGGCTTTATGAGCTGAAATCTGCTGTCCTTCTTCCCACTGACTCGGTGGCATTCCGCCGCAAGATCCGCAGCTGCCCAGAAAATAAGATGTGCGTGCACAACCAAGTAGGCTCGTCCAGAGGATGCTTGCAATATGCATGCAACTCTGTTTCCCTGGTTGCCTTCATGGTCACCACTGTCGTTGCTGCTGCTGGCAGAGATACAGAGCTATCGCTGCTGCAGCGGAAAGGGGGAGATGATGACTCTCTGCCAAAGCCATGCCTTGCAAACAATTTTTGTTTTGAAGTCCTGATGTCCTCTTCCTATGTAAGCCCAATGATCCTTTTCTCACAGCATCTTCCAAAGCTGTACTATCCTTCTGTTTCACATCTACCACCCCAGGTATGACCTCACATATGTTTCTGTATGTTTTACTGCCTTCCAGTTAGCAACAAACTGTGACCTACTGCCTTGGGGGTGAGCCAGTGAGCTCCTGATAAGCCGGTGAGCTCGGTAAGCATGCTGAATTCATATATCCGGGTAGTCTGAAGAGCTGACTGACGTGCTACCAACTAAAAAAATGCTCAGGCCAAAATACACTTTCAATGGCATGAAGCACTGAGACTTAGGCTCTGCGTGCAGGTTCAAAATGGAATGAGTGTTCTTGCAGTAACTGGATTTCTCTTTCCTCCTTGAAAATTTGTTTATTTCAAACTACCTTGTCCTGAAGGGAAATCATAATCTTCTGGGATGCAACATAATGCTGTCAAAGAAATAAATAGCAAAGATGTAATGTTGTTAATATCAGATTCTCTAGGAGCAGGAAAAAAGAAGGCTTCTGGTTAAAGGCAAATTATTGAAATGCCCTCTTTGACTGATACAGTATTTTGTGCAGTTCCACAGTATTCTTGTTTTGTAGTTTATTCACTTGCTCTGGGCAAACAACGAGCAGGGAGAGCTCCCAGTTTGGAATCAGAAAGTTCAAAAGCTGCTTGGCAAGGGCTTGGCAAAGGCTTTCTGAATCAAAGCTCCTGCACGTTCACCCTGCGCAGCCGTGGCACCTGGGCTTGCTTTACACGGCATACAGTAATGCAGTACAAAGCCTGCTAAGTTCATGCATGCTTTAAGCCACTTTAGTTCTTCAAATCTCCGGAGCAGAACTGTAATCCTAATCTGAACCGGCATTTCAGATGAAATAAATAAATAAATACCACTTACACAACTCTTTCATCATAGAACTACTTCGACTGATACACTCCAGATAGATAAACATTGCTGTGCAATGTAAACTTGCCTGGAAGATTACGGCACCTTTATGAACAGCTTTCAGATATCTAACATGAGAATTTAGGACGGAAAACAAAGACTGATTTTTAACTGCAACTTCAGGAATGTTTAGCTAGACAGCTGTAAGACAAATATGTTCTTAATAAAACGATATTCAACAAAGCCAAGCTTAGCAGTACCACTTGATGTAGAACCGTGCCATTTCCTGCTTCCACTTCCTGATATCGTTTCACCTGCTTGAGTTTGTGAGGCTGGACAAGATCAGAGGGGGAGGTCACAGAACTCGATGCAGTCTTCCATATCTTCTGGTAGGAAACCTGGGGAAACAAAAGGACTCAAGAAAAGTTCTTCTGCAAAGAAAAGGTACTTTTTGCTTTGCATTGAGTTCAGGGGCTACAAGATGAGGTCCTACCACATGCATAAAGTAGTGTTTTGTATACATTTACTTTTCATTCATGAAATGTGACCATGAAAAAGAAGCTTGCATTTCCAGTTATTACTATTTTGATACCAGTCTGAGCCTAATCTCAGAAAGTCTGGGACCTTATTGCAGCCTTTCAACATCTAAAGGGGGCTTATAAGAAAGTTGGAGAGAGACTTTTTACTAGGGCCTGCAGTGACAGGACAAGGGGTAAAGGTTTTAAAGTAAAATAAGGTAGATTTAGATTAAATGTTAGGAGGACATTCTTCACTCAGAAGGTGGTGAGGCACTGGCACCGGCTGCCCAGAGAAGCTGTGGATGCCCCATCCCTGGAGGTGCTCAAGGCCAGGCTGGATGGGGCTTTGGGCAACCTGGTCTGGTGGGAGGTGTCCCTGCTCATGGCAGGGGGTTGGAACTAGGTGATCCTTAAGTGTCCCTCCCAGCCCAAACCATTTGGTGATTCTGTGATTCCCTAAGTCCTTGTGGCTATTACAAAGTTTTAATAAAACATAAAATGGCTTTTTCAAAAGGCCTTTAATATTTCCTCCCTTTACTTTCCTTACAGCATTTATTTCTTTCCCAGGTATGCTTCTGACAACATGGCTTGATATTTAATGTTGCTTCATGAACTCCACTGGGACGCTTTTTGTCCACCAGTTAGCACCTGCCCTTAGGCTTGCTGCAAGGGTGAGTGTTTTCCCACCACAGGCAGCAAGGATGGTCCTTGCCAGGGCTGGGAGGCAGTCTAGACTGAATGTTTGCATTGCGAGTCTTATTACAAAAGCATGAAGCCTGAAGACAGTGCCAATTCACCCTGCCACAGCCATCTGACGTTTAGCAGAAAACTTCATGCTTCACCATCATTGACAGTAGCTTCATTAGCACCATGGATCTTTCTCCAAAGGTGTAAGAGCAGACAGGGAACACAGTCGTGCTAGCCCAATCTGGCACTCAGAATTTGATCCCCAAATAAATGCCACGACTGAAAAAGGTTAGAACTATTCCTCTTTGTCCTGTACTGCTCGGGTTACAAGATAAGCACACAATAGAGCTTCAGAGTGGAATTGCCTTTTAATTTTACAATGCCTATAATTCAAGGCTTTTCAGTTACAAAGCCCCCAACTTTCAGGGAGAAAAGGCTTAATCCACTAGATACCACTGTGACAAGCATCTGCTTCCTCAAAGGCATCTTTATTAAAACGAGTCAAGATAGCCTCCTGAGGGAGAGACATCACAAAAGATCTGTAATAAAAAGAAATGCCTTATTTTCCTTAAAGCCTTTTGATCAACATCAGCAGATCTGTTGCTGTCTGCAATGAAGAATTTGCAATAGCTGAGTGTATTTGAGCGGCCCTGTCTTTTGTTTGGAGTGAAGTAAGTCATGTAAGAAAAGAAAAATTTCACCCAGATTTTAAATGTATTTGTTTAACTGAGAATACAATTGAGTTGTTAACCGAGTCACAGAATTATTGCAGCTCAATTCCTGTTATAGAATGAGATTTTGGCACTGTAGTGTGGTGTTGACAAGTAAGTGACACTGGCAGCTTGAAGTGATGGCAGTTCTCCTCCACTTTAACATCACCGAAGATTTTCCCCCAATATTGTACACTAAAATTAGAGTGAAGCATAAAGTCTCTTCTAAGCATAAAGTCTCTTCCAAAAAGAGAACACAAGTGGTAAGGGAGTTGCCTTATAGATAAGGAAGTTTATATGAGTCGATAAAAGCACAAAGGAGAAGTTCCACTGAAATGATTTCTTCTGCTTCTGCGTTTATGAAAAGTGCCATCCTTTTGTTATGTTTAAAGCACTTTGGTCTTACCTAACAGCAAGGCAGGAGGTAATTTGCAGTGCTTATAAAGCTAATTCAGCTGTCTGAGGTGAGGTCCAAGACTCACGGGTGGCTGGAAGCTGCAAAGGGCAGGCAGGGTATGCCAGCAGCTGCTCCGTTCCTGAGCGAGAGCTGCAGGGGAAAGCAGTGGAGGAGGGAAAGGGTAAGGGAAGGGAAGCATGAAGAAGGTCCAGAGCATCTGAGTGTGGGAAGCTGTGAGTAGCTGTTTTCTATGACACAATTTACTGCCCTGTGGTAGAGTGCATGGTGACCTAAAGAAAGCTGAATCAGTTAGGTCAACCCACAAGCGAGAAACCCACTGGGATTTGTATGCTACCCACTAGCAGCAGTGTTAGGGAGAAGTTTTCCTGGGGATTGGACTCCGGTGCTCAGTGAGGGCTAAGATCTCTACTGTACACTGTCAAGGCACACTAACCAATTTCAGGAAATTCACTGTTTACAGTAAATGTAGGATGATCTGAGGGAAAAGGCTCTTTTTGGATCATTTAACCTGAAAGAAAAAGAGATTATTTCAGATTCAGAGCCCCATCAAAGAGCTGTCTTTCCCCTAAATTACAAGAGGAGCTGGTAAGCTTTGTCAAGATGGTTTCAAATTAACCTCACTCTTGCTGAAGAACACATTATTTTCCCTCTGCTCTCTCCTGGGAACCTTTCTCCCTGTTTCAGAAGCCACTAATGAATGGTTTCACAGTGCAGACCTCCCTGTCATTGCACACAGGGTTACAGGAGAGGCCCAGACCGCTCCTAGGCACTGGTGACTTTCAGTCACACTGAGGGAATTCAGGAGTCCTCCTTGGCTATTTAATTCAGTGCCAGTAGCAGCACTTGCCTGCTTTTACACGGTGTGTGAGAATTGGTACCAGGTACTGTGAAGACAGTAAAACGCTTTTGGTATAAGAAGAGATAACTTCCTTGGTGCACCAA